ATTAATATTTTGTATAAATTATATTTAATTATTTATTACTTTTTAAACAAATATTTTATATGTATATATATATATATATATATATATATACATAATATTTCTTATTATACCCCTGGTGTATGAAACATGTGTAAGTAAGTAAATAAATAAATACATAAATGTAGCTTTTCAAACATTGATTATTAGTATATTTACATTTTCATATACATTTTGTTATTATGATTTACTGCTTTAACAAATATTTTAGATTTATATTTCTAATATTTCTGATTATTAATTCTATTTCAGTTATGCTTTTTGCATTTTTTTTTACTAGCTCAATTCAAATTCAATTTATTCTCAATTCAATTTAATGTCATGTATCTACAACTATGAAAACTGTAAATGTGTTGAGAAATAGTGATGATCAGAGAGTCTGTTGGTGGGTGTATTTTGTGTCTCTGCTGCAGATGGTCTCACTCACAGCAGAATAGATGGGGCGGAAGGACATCAGCCTCTCAGTGCGATAGGCATTGCTGCCACTCCAGGCCTCCCAGCAAGGGTAATCTCCCTTCTCCAGGATGAACTGCTGGCCATTGAAGGTAGAGTGCTCAAAACCTACCCAGCTAGAGTCAGAAGAAACCATTAGGAGATGGGGCTGGAAAGAGGAAGAGAGATTTACTCAGGTAATCAAAGATGCTTGCTTTTACTCACACGCCACACTCCACCTTCAGGGAGCGGACAGTCTCCATTCCGTACTCCATGATGTTCTGGCAGCAAGCGGTGAATTCACAACGCCTGCCCTGGAAATGCTCCTGATCATAAACAGTAATCTGAAAAAGAAAGAAATGTGTAAATACACACAAATATCCAGGGGCGTAGCCATCTTTTCAGAAGTCAGGGGGACAGAAATGTAGTAATACTTTTTTTTTTTTTAATTGACACGTTTTATTTTTCTCTTATTTATTTTAATTGGCAAAGAAATCAAATACACTGCAGGACAATAACCAATCATTTATATTCTATAATATTTTTTCTTAATTTTTTTTTTTTATATTTTCCTAATGACAGTTTTATGATTTGTGTTTATATACTACAAACCCATTTTTTCCCCATTTTTATCACAGAATAAGGCAGAATAGTTTCTGTACTCTAATAAATGCAATGTCAATTAGCACTGCATTATTCATTACTAATTATTCATATTATTCATTATTCATACTTCATTTATTACCTGGATATAACTTGAAAAACTGAAATTGAAAAACCCTTGAAAACCTCTATGTGAACACACTTGCCCGAAATACAATACAATGTACCTGTTATTTACGTGTTCAATTTTGTTTTAAATTATTTAAATTTATTATTTTTTAAACTTTAATTCAAAATAAATTCATACATCAACAGTCAAAAGTTAGGAATAATTAAGGTTTTTGGAAGAAGTCTCTTATGCTCACCAAGGCTGCATTTATTTGATCAAAATACAGTAAAACTAATATTGTGAAATATGATTACCATTTGAAAAAACTGTTTTCTATCTGAATGTATTTCATAATATCATTTATACCTGTGATGTCAAAGCTGAATTTTCAGCATCATTACTCCAGTCTTCAGTGTCACGTGATCCGTCAGAAATCATTCTGATATGCTGATTTGCTGCTCAAATATTAATAATGATTTTTATTATTATCAATACTGAAAACAGTTTTTGCTCCTTAATATTTTTGTGGAAAATGAGATGATTTATTTATTTATTAATGGTAGTGTTGGCTGCTGAAAATTCAGCATTGATATCACAGGAATAAAATTACAGTTTTAAAATTACAGTTTAAAATATATTCAAATAGAAAACAGTTGTTTTAAATTGTAATAATATTTCACAATATTATTTGCATTTTTGATCAAATAAATGTAGCATTGGTGAGCATAAGTGACAAAATAAAAACAATTAATTAAATATTAAATGAAATAAAAATATAATATTTTTTCTTCTTCTAAAATAAATAAATAAAATCACTGTACCTTCCATGGTCCCATGGGCATTGACATAGGGTTTGTCAGAGCCATTGTTTCAGATATCTCAGCGCTGACTGACCTCCATGCAAGGAATCAGACATCATGTCAGAAGAAGAAGGAGGAAGAAGGGAGGGAAGGACACGGCTGGTTCCTCTCAATGCTGGATCCTACAGATAGACTGGATCTGAGGGGTCTGAGCGTGGCAGCCATACTCCCTGTAGTGCCTGTACTCGCCTCCGTGGCAGTCGCACTCCATAATGTACTGGTAACCACGGTAACCGGGATACTGGTAGCATACCCAGCTAGAGCAACAGGGATAGAGAGGCGGCATGTTACCATGGAGACCAAGTGAAGCTTTTGATTTCTCAAACGTTGACGAATGCAGTGATGAATACACTGACGCCAGGCTTTTTCAGATACAGATCAAAAGCAGCATAAGAGAAGAAACCAGAAAACCAGCCTCCGTAATGATGTGATTAAAATCCATTCGGGCAATCGTACTTACGCGCCACTCATGACTTGGATGGAGCCGACCTCGTTGTTGCACCATCCCATAGCCTGCAGGGAGGGGTAGTCATTGCACACCTCCCACTGCCTTCCAGTCATGTTCTCACACTCGAAAAGCATCATACGGCAATCACTGTGTGTCTGTTTCAGAATGAAGAAAGAAAGACATACAACTTGTTGAATGCCCTGTTGAGTGAAAATCTGATTCGAAGAACTGGTTCCCTTTAAGTTCATGGCTTGCAATTTGAATTAAACTGGCCCCATCTCACAGGATGTTGAATTGGAACAAACGAAACAGCAAATGGAAATTGAATTTACTGCAGTGTAACACAACTTATTTTTTAATTAGTCTAGCACAACAAACTGGACAAGATTTTGGATTCTAGGAAATGTTCTTCCACCATGACCCATAAAATGACCAAGTTAAAATAATTACATCTATAATTAAATAATTTAAATGATTAAATCTAAATCTATCTTATATCATATATCATATAAAAAAAATTATAAATTACATTTTAAATAAATATTTTAGACCAATATTTCTAATGTTTTGACTATACCCTTTGTATGATAACTTATGTAAATGATATACATAATTAATTAAATAAATAAATAAATTAGATTTATATTTGATTATTTATTGCTTTGTAACAAATATTTTAGACTTATTTTTCTAATATTTCTCATTATGCCCCTTTGTGTATGATAGCATACATATATAAATTATGTAAATAAATAAATAAAGGTAGCTTTTCAGACATTGATTATTAATATTTTATATTAATTAATATTTTATTATTTATTATTCTAATATTTCTTATTATACCCCTGGTGTATGAAACGTGTGTAAGTAAAAAAAGTAAGTATGTAAATAAATAAATAAGTAAACATAGCTTTTCAAACGTTGATTTTTAGTATATTAACATTTGTACGTTATTATGATTTACTTATCTTTTTTTTTTAACAATTTAGGCTTATATTTCTAATATTTCTATTAATTCTATTTCAATTATGCTTTGTGCAATTTATTTGCTAGTTCAATTCAAATTCACTTTATTCTCAATTCAATTTAATGCCATGTATCTACAACTATGTCAAAAAATGTAAATGTGTTGAGAAATAGTGATGATCAGAGAGTCTGTTGGTGGGTGTATTTTGTGTCTCTGCTGCAGATGGTCTCACTCACAGCAGAATAGATGGGGCGGAAGGACATCATCCTCTCAATGCGATAGGCATTGTTGCCACTCCAGGCCTCCCAGCAAGGGTAATCTCCCTTCTCCAGGATGAACTGCTGGCCATTGAAGGTAGAGTGCTCAAAACCTACCCAGCTAGAGTCAGAAGAAACCATTAGGAGATGGGGCTGGAAAGAGGAAGAGAGATTTACTCAGGTAATCAAAGATGCTTGCTTTTACTCACACGCCACACTCCACCTTCAGGGAGCGGACAGTCTCCATTCCGTACTCCATGATGTTCTGGCAGCAAGCGGTGAATTCACAACGCCTGCCCTGGAAATGCTCCTGATCATAAACAGTAATCTGAAAAAGAAAGAAATGTGTAAATACACACAAATATCCAGGGGCGTAGCCATCTTTTCAGAAGTCAGGGGGACAGAAATGTAGTAATACTTTTTTTTTTTTTAATTGACACGTTTTATTTTTCTCTTATTTATTTTAATTGGCAAAGAAATCAAATACACTGCAGGACAATAACCAATCATTTATATTCTATAATATTTTTTCTTAATTTTTTTTTTTTTATATTTTCCTAATGACAGTTTTATGATTTGTGTTTATATACATTTTTCCCCTTTTTCCCCCATTTTTATCACAGAATAAGGCAGAATAGTTTCTGTACTCTAATAAATGCAATGTCAATTAGCACTGCATTATTCATTACTAATTATTCATATTATTCATTATTCATACTTCATTTATTACCTGGATATAACTTGAAAAACTGAAATTGAAAAACCCTTGAAAACCTCTATGTGAACACACTTGCCCGAAATACAATACAATGTACCTGTTATTTACGTGTTCAATTTTGTTTTAAATTATTTAAATTTATTATTTTTTAAACTTTAATTCAAAATAAATTCATACATCAACAGTCAAAAGTTAGGAATAATTAAGGTTTTTGGAAGAAGTCTCTTATGCTCACCAAGGCTGCATTTATTTGATCAAAATACAGTAAAACTAATATTGTGAAAGATGATTACCATTTGAAAAAACTGTTTTCTATCTGAATGTATTTCATAATATCATTTATACCTGTGATGTCAAAGCTGAATTTTCAGCATCATTACTCCAGTCTTCAGTGTCACGTGATCCGTCAGAAATCATTCTGATATGCTGATTTGCTGCTCAAATATTAATAATGATTTTTATTATTATCAATACTGAAAACAGTTTTTGCTCCTTAATATTTTTGTGGAAAATGAGATGATTTATTTATTTATTAATGGTAGTGTTGGCTGCTGAAAATTCAGCATTGATATCACAGGAATAAAATTACAGTTTTAAAATTACAGTTTAAAATATATTCAAATAGAAAACAGTTGTTTTAAATTGTAATAATATTTCACAATATTATTTGCATTTTTGATCAAATAAATGTAGCATTGGTGAGCATAAGTGACAAAATAAAAACAATTAATTAAATATTAAATGAAATAAAAATATAATATTTTTTCTTCTTCTAAAATAAATAAATAAAATCACTGTACCTTCCATGGTCCCATGGGCATTGACATAAGGTTTGTCAGAGCCATTGTTTCAGATATCTCAGCGCTGACTGACCTGCATGCAAAGAATCAGACATCATGTCAGAAGAGTTCATCGCTGTATAACATCCCTAAAATGCCATACATGATGAACAGTTTTCATACATTTCTACTTTCACTTACCTGTCATACTGTGAAAAAAAAACAGTACAAGTGCTTTTTTTTTTTTCATAACATTCTTTGTGCGACAAGCCTGAACATTGTTGGATCAATTAAACCGAGTGGCTTATATTACAGTCTAATGCACATCAGGTCAGTCTTGTTCAAATACCTTGTTGAATCATAATTATCTCCTCTATCATAATTATAATTAGCATGTCTGATTGTATCAGTGGATCGTTGTTTGATTTATCATTCTGTATATGTAATGCTCACTATGGTGTTCCAGGCTTGTTTAATCTGGTTTAAAGTTGGCAGAGGTACAGGGTTTACCAGACTTACCCAATAGAATGAGCTGTATGCGTTGAGGGGAATCCACCACGCGGTCTCCTGCTCAGGCATCTGTGGGGCTATTTATACAGACACCGCTTCAATGGGGCTCCCTGATTCACAGACCCCGGCTGCTGTCAGCATTTTGCTTGGGATGCCTTTTGTTTCTGACCTCAACTGTAGTCCTTTATTTCCTCCGCATGCTCTTTACAATGAACTGATCTCCACCAATGAGCGGCCATGGGGCTGCATGGCCTCTCATGTTCCACTACCTGATGATCACCTCACTTTTACACTATAAAGGTAGCAATGTATACTAATATGTGATTTTAGGTCACATTTATGTGGATTACATAAAAGGTTATATACTATAACTCGAGATTTTCATTTCAGGCCTTTCAAATTTGAATTGAAGACGTCTTTGCGACAGTATTTGGTATTTTACAGACTTTATAAGGAAAAAAATCTATTCAAAATAGCACTGAAATATATTGTTTTTTTACATAATACAAATTTTTAATTTGTTGATGCCTGAGATGCAATGACAAACAATAATGAATATTTATATTTCCAGTTTTTAGTCTCACATCTGAGTGCAAACTTAACGCCGCTGCTTACATGTTTTCTGGGGTTTAGTCAGATTTCGGAGTAACGCGGATGAGTTTCTGACCCATAAATGGAAAAACATTGCAATGCAGATGCTAATATGAATCAGTGTGTTTTCCAAATCAATGAAGCGGATACTGGTTGAGCTCAAATGCCGACAAATTTAACATTACAGCAGTTTAAATGTCTAAAAACTACTGTGTTCAATTGCAACTTATATCAAATTCAGGAACAATACATGGGTTTTTAGAAAAACTATGTACCATAGGACATTTACATTGAAAGATGCACATATACTGAAAACAAATAGGTGTAGGATTTACTTTGAAACAAGTTTCACTCGACTGCTAGTTAATTTCACAAATAATTGCAAAGGAACGGCATTGAATTAATGTGAAATTCTGAAGTAGAATGACTAAAATTGAGTTTTCTTGTAAAACGTACTCCAGATATCTTTTTTATTTCAGTGTATAGACCTGAACATTTCAGTCCGTGCGATTTGAAATGAACTGAACAGCTTTAGCGTTCATTGTGAAATGACTTCTGATGCTCAGCCCACAACCTCGACCCAGGTCTCTTTGCAAAACAATGGCCTTACACAGACTGCAGTCAGCACATTGTTGTCCAGGGTGGAGGTGTGTGTGTCGAATGTGTATGACGTGTGTATCTGTTAAGCTCTGTGTGAGTGTGTGTGTGTGTGTGTGTGTGTCAAATGTAGTTCTGGTTGTGTGTAAAAATGTCTGTATGTGCATGTGTGTGTGTGGATTTCTGCTGATGAGAGCAGCCACACCGTGATGACAAAGAGACAAGCCAGCTCAGCAGGCCCCTGAGATGAAATGAGTGTGTCCTCTTCTACAAACATACACTCTCTCAGCCATATTATTAATAAACTCACCATGAACATTACTATAACAAAAACGTGTTGCTGATGACATTTATTTATGCCTTTGTTCTGTCTTTTAAGCTATAAAGGTTTGATTCTATCTTAGTTTTGTATCATAACAACAATAGCTGTAATATAACAGGCTATTATACCAGTAAGCACAACTATATTGGTTAAAAGGGAGTTCTTTGAATTATTCGAAGATGCATTATTTGATGAATTGCTCGAGTTAGGGTTAGGGTTTTTTTCTTCATAGTGTTAAGAAATCAGTGTCTCATTCTCTGGTATAAATGAAATGAAATGTTGATATTGTTTATATCAACGGTTAGGCTATTTTTTGTTGTTGTAGCCTACTGTCGTGTAGCGTCCTCTTGTGGACTGTCATAACTTCACTAAATTCAGGTTGTTTATTGGCATATATGGTTCCATCAAGAACCTTTTATTGCACAAAAAGTACTTTATGGTGGCAAAAGATTATTTAAGTTATTAAAATGTGTTTTTTTTCTTAAAAGAAAAAGGGGCTATTTTAAGAACTGTTCACTGAAACGTTCTGTGGGAAACCCAAAAATGGTTCTTCACTGGAATTGCTGCGTAAAACCCTTAATGGAACCTTTCTTTTTAAGAGTTTTGAATCAAATTTCGAATCAAAGACTTTCACATCACATGTCAATGCAGCCTGAAATTAGAAAAATAAAAAAAAATTAATTAATTAGAAATTTAAAAAAAACCGTATATACAGCTATATAAGTTTTATTTTTATTTTAAATAATAATATTGGCGTTACAATTTCTCATATTTGCTGGGGGTTGTGCTTTATTTAGGCTATTTGATTTGTTTTGAGTTGAATTAATGCACCTTCACACCATTCGCGAATCAATTTGGATCATACCACACGACAAACGGGATAATTCAAAACAGATATCCGGCGCACACTACATGCTAGAATGACCAGTTCAGTCCAGGCTCGACGACTGATTTTATTAAAAACTATTTCCTTAGAAATACAACGCGCTGAACTCAAAGCAGTCTTTTTTATCAGTCAAACAGTGTCATCTGTTGTCACCGTGCGCCACTGAACTACAGGCGACCCCCTCGTGCCTCGCAGTAGTACGTCCCTCAGCTGGAGCGCGAGAGAGGTTCAGATTGAGCGGAGAACAGGAGGATTTAAATACCTCTAAACGGGCGACCTGCTCAGCCCTTCGGGTGCGGGAGGGTGACTGTTTTGTGTCTTTTCTAGACCGGGGGAGCAGGGGGGTGGTGGAGGAGGAACGGATAATGAGCTATTCTTGTACCAGCACAGGCAACAGCCAGGACCCATCGAGCTCTAAGAAGTCCGGCGGCGTTAATCCCGGTAGTTGCAGCAGTAGCAGCAGCAGCGGAGACACCGGCAACGGCAATAACCGCCACAGCATCCGCGGCAGCAAAGCGAACTCGAACCCTGATTTATCCGAGGCCATGAAAGTCAAGAAGGGCTGCAACACGACAGACGTCGGGGTCCCCGTCACCACAGAGGAGGAGCTGCTTGCGAACAAAACGATCACCCCGGAGGATGTGCTGGGATTGCAGAAGATCACTGAAAGTAAGTGACCGAGTGGATCGGAACACACTCGGAATATTTCGCCAAACATCGTGCATTGTCGCAAAGCTATTGAATAATTTGCGTTTTGTATCAACGCAGGCTTCAGTAGATTGAGTAATCACAGATCCTCTTGTTTATGAACACTTCACTGTGCTATATACGCCATATTGTAGCAATTCTAGATCAGCGGGTTTCTTTAATAAGAAAGACTGAAAAATAACTTGCTTGAATTACAGACTGAACCAAACAGGTTTTATACGGACCATCAAAATTTCGACCTATTGGTGTGCAAATATGACATTATAGTGCATCTATGTAGCTCACTCTTCAAAGGTCTTTATTAGGGTTATATGACCTCTTACTGGTAATACTACTGAAATTGAATTTATCAGCTATTGAATGACTTTGGAAATGGGAAGAAATAAATGGCATGGGCAGTGTCATTTCCCAAGGATCAACTATAATTAACCACCTTCAGCCTTGCAGTCCTAAGCATGGTTAGGTAACAGGTGGCCAATAAGCCCTCCATTACTGTTTTTAAAGGCCCGTGCAATGGTTTATACAACATCCACATCGCATGAACCTTAATGAAGAGGCTGCATGTAATGCTAAGCTATTAGAAATACCTCCAAAAAAGTTTGGATTCTAATTAATTATTAATTAATTATTTTTTAATATAAATTCCTGATCAGTTCTAACCATTTTGCGAATTATATCAGGACTTGTGTGTCAAGGCCCTTTTTCCTGCATCTAGCATTTAAACAGCAGTCATTATTTTTCATATTTATGATATATAAATCTACAATAAAATTAAAGTACAATTTGGTTAATTTTCCCGCTGATAGTGAACAGAAATCCCTTGAGTTCCTGTGGTTCTCTTGTCCATTAGCTACTTTCGAGCAACTTTGCATACACTGAATAACTTGTAATGTGACTTTAGTGGTTACTGAAACGTATTTTGAGAACACTCTTGAAATTTGTGCGTGTGTGTATATATAAATGATGTAAATATATGTAAAATATATTATAAATTATATCCTTCTCTTGGCAGCCATCTTTCTCTGTTACAGTTAATATGTTCATCATCCTTGTATTTTTGTATCATGTATAAAAGACCTGACTTTTCTTTTCTTCTTTTTTTTTTAAAAATAATTTAGGAAAGAAGTGAAAGTTTAAAAAGAAAGTTTAGGAAAGATGTGTATATTAAATGTTTTAATAAAAGTTCTAATGAAGATGAAGAATGAACACCAAACATGATAAATGTATTTGGCTACACATTTTTATGCATCAAACAAATTAATAAATAAAATTGATTCATTACACCTGCATTTTTTTCATGTTAAACTATAAGATATTTAAGTTACAATAATTGTCACCCCATAACAGCTATTAATAATATTAATTATGATTACTCATGACAACAACAATAATACAGATTCATGAACAAAAACATTATCAACTCTTACTGGAAAATGATGCTGTGATTTGTTCTGTGTTAGCCACCCTGATAACTATATCTTGGTAAAGTGATGCATGTAAATGAGCAGGGTAGTGGGCCATGTTTTTGTCAGATGGTGAGTTTTTAATGTGCCCTACAAATGTGCAGATCATGTTTGTTTCCAGCCACTCAACCAGCATGTTTATTTGCTGAAAGCAGTTACATAATTTCACCTGTTTGCTGTGTTTGACTACATAAGCTGTCCTGTTGGGCCTCTCTGAACATCTGAGAAATGCTGCCCACTCAAAGCAACAAACCTGTGCTTTGCTCACAGTACACAAGACATATTTTAGTGCACCAAAAACCATGTCCTACTCTTTTTGATCTGTCAACAGGCAAAATGGTTCCACTGCTCTCTTTTCATTGGTGTTCACTCCTGCTTTAAATACTAAAAATAATTTCTCTTTATTTTAACTTGGTTCATCGTTGATATAATCCATGTGTTTTTAGTCGTTTCTTGAAGATGGTTAAGGACTCTGATTGATCTGGGCAGGTCATTCCACCAGGAGGGAACAGTTAATGAAAAAGTCAGT